ACAAGGATACCCAAAGCCAGAGTATTTTAATTGCATATTGCTAGACATTCTAGGAAACCTGGACCCTGGATAAAAAGATCAATGGAACTAGAATATGGCCCTTCTACTGCTTTTATTTAATTCTGCCAAGAATGATGCCGTAGATTTCCCTTCTTGTTGATGTTTTAGCAGGAGTCATGGCTGCTCATCTGTGCTTTTAGCATGTCAGAAGATGAGGAAAATGTGGAGACTCACAACTAATGTGTTATTTGTTTAAGTGATCAATTGAAGGAGTCAAATCACCTAGCTTTGGTCTCAACTTAGAAAAGCATAAGGAAGAACAAGTAACAATATGATGCTCTACTTTGCTAATGGGGACTCCAGCCAAGGAATCAAAACCTAATATGAAATCTGCTTTCAAAAAAACAACGACCATAAGATAGTGGGCTGATTGAGAGCCCTACATACCACAGAGTTGAAAGATTGGCTATCAGTCTGTGAAATAGCCCTACCGAATGATTAAGGACCTACTAAAATAGTGTATTTTGACCACCTAATCCCAATATGGGGAGCTTTGGACTTCATGGTGAGCAGAATGAGAGAAGTAATAGAGAGTCAAAGATGCAGGTTCCAAAAGAAAGTCTTCAAACTGTTTCAGATCAACGATTGGTATTAGATGACTTTCTAGAGGGGAAGATATGGGTCAAATTCTAGATGAAGATGAAATTTTATGTTGGAACCCTGTTGGTGGTTATAGAAATTCATCAAGAATTTCTTGGCCTGAAATGGATTTCTGTCCAGAAGCAGGGAGAACAAATGCAGAGGCCATTCCTTTTCTGCCCAATGCTCCATGTGTAGCGGCCCCAAGAGAAGAGAGGCCACCTATAGTCTGATTGATTGGGGTCTGAAGACATCACCATTCATCCTGAGTCATCCACTGGCCCAAAATAAGGCCTGTGGGCCAATAAGTCTAAAGCTACTGACCCTTCCACAGGGGGTCCAATGTGAAAGCTGGTGGCTGCAGAAGTTGGAAGGTTATATAACCAATGACTTGACCAATGAATGACATTCTTAAGGTGATAAGTATCAGGCAAGATAAGGTGATCAGAACAGTTTGGTACTCATTGGTGAAATATATATGTGTATATGTATGTATATATATGTATATATATATATATATATCTCAATCCTAAGTTGTGATGCTATGTATAATGTATATATATATGTGCCCTATGTATTTGGTATATAGCATAGAACTTTAATGCAGAAATCATGTACCATGTATTTGTATGTGGCTTTTTTTACTTAGAATATTTTACCTGTAACTATATAATATGTAACTTAATAGTTGTATGTTGTCTTGACCATGTATACTCAGTATAACTTTCAGGGAATTACTTTTTTTCTTTTTTTTTTTATAGCAGGGAGGATATAATAGACATAGCTAAGAGAAGAAAAGGATATCTAGGTGGTGAAGTGGACAGAGTGCTGGGCCTGGAGTCAGGAAGACTTATCTTCCTGAGTTCAAATCTGGCCTCAGATATTTACTAGCTGTATGATCCCGGGCAAGTTACTTCACCCTGTTTACCTCAATTTCCTCATCTTCAAAATAAACTGGAGAAAGAAATGGCAAACCACTCCAGTATCTTTGCCAAGAAAACCCCAAATGGGGTCATAAAGAGTTGGACATAAATGAAAATGACCGAACAACAAGAAAAGAGGAGAAAGGGACTACATTTCCCACAATAAGAACTAAGAATAAGAATAAGAACTAAGAATAAGAACACTCTTTGGATGAAGATGGACTCTACTCCTCTTAGGCTACGCTTCCTGTGAGACCTATTGGGCCCACAAGACAGGTTGATTTACATCAGAGGGATTGACAGAAAAAAGTAATAAGATGAAAGAGTAATGGTGGCCTCTGCAAGGTTCCTGACCATGTGAGGCAGTGACAGCATCTAGGAATTGGTCCTGGAGTATCCCGAAGGCCCCATAAAAGAGAGAAGACGTGGCATCCTGGCTGAGGAAAATTTGGCAAACTGACCATGAACAGGAATAGCAAGTAATGTCTCAGGAAAGCTAAGACGGGAGTTTCGTTGGAAATAGTGACTACGGAGAAGCGAACTATCAATTCAATTTGATTCAGATTTGATCCATCACTGAATTCTTCATTTTCAGCCCTGAAACTGATCCTGGAGAATAATGAAGGTGCTTTGCTTCTGCCTTCCCTATGAGAGCCATGAGTTTTGGTAGAACTCAAGTTCCAAAACACTCTGAAGATAAAGGGGAATAAAACTATACCCTTTCCAGAAAGTGAGCAAGATTGTTTTCTGCTTTATTATTCATTTCTGTTCTGATTAAATGTATTACTATTTCAGTACTCTTCTTGAATCCATTAGCATGGCAAACAAATTCTTAAAACTTAACTTCATAAGTTGCCTGTTTGGCAGTTCTCAGATGAAGAAATTAAAGCCATTTATAGTCATATGAAAAAATGCTCTAAATCACTATTGATTAAAGAAAGGCAAATCAAAACAACTCTGAGGTACCATATCACACTCATCAGATTGGTCAACATGACAAACAAGGAAAATGATAAATGCTGGAGAAGATGTGGGAAAATTGGAACACTAATGCATTGTTGGTGGAGTTGTGAAATGATCCAACCATTTTGGAGAGCAATTTGGAGCTATGCCCAAAGGCCTATAAAAATGTGCATACCCTTTGTCCCAGCAATAGCTGGGCTATATCCCAGAGAGATCATACAAATGGGAAAAGGACCCACATGTACAAAAATATTTGTAGCAGCTCTTTTTGTGGTGGCAAAGAATTGGAAATTGAGAGGATGCCCATCAACTGGGGAATGGCTGAGCAAGTTGTAGTATATGAATGTAATGAAATATTATTGTGCTATAAGAAATGATGAACAGGCTGACTTCAGAAAAACCTGTAAAGACTTGTATGATTTGATGCTGAGTGAAGTGAGAAGAACCAGAATAACATTGTACACAGTAACAGCCACATTGTGTGATGACTAATATTGGTAAACTTAACCCTTCTCAGCAATGCAAGGATCTAAGACATCTCCAAAGGTCTCATGATGAAAAATACAATCCATATCTGAAGTAAGGACTATGGAGTTTGAATGCAGGTCGAAGCATACTATTTGCTATTTTTTTTCTTCTGTTGTGTTTTGTTTCCTCTTTCTGGTGGTTCCTCCTGTTGGTTCTAATTCTTACTTACATCACTAATGTGAAAATATGTTTAATAGGAATGTTTATGTATAGCCTACATCAGATTACACACTGTCTTGGGAAGGGAGGTGGGAAGGGAGGGGGAGAAAAATTTAAAACTCTAAAGATTATGGAAGTGATTGTTGATAATTAAAAATGAATTAATTTAAAAATAATTTTTTAAAAAAAGAAGTTGCCTGTTTTCTAATTGGTCAGAGGTAAAGCAAACCACATAGTCTTGTAAAAAACTTTTCAAAATATCTATAATTTGGATCTAAGTCTATTAGGATCCAGATTCACTGGCTACTAGAGATCTATTCCATTGGAGGGAGGGGGGAAAATGCCTACTATGTGTCAGGCACTGTGCTAAACACCTTGCAAGCATTTTCTCATTTGAACCTCTGAACAACCCAAGGAGGTGGGTGTTTATTATTTATTCCCATTTTACACTTGAGGAAATTGAGGCAGAAAGAAATTAAGTGACTTGCTCAAGCTAGTAAGTGCCTGAGGCTGAATCTGAATGACAGAGGTCTTCTTGACTCCAGGCCCAGCATTCTATCTACTGTACCACCTCGCTGCCTCATAGCCTTAGCTTTGGGGCTAGAATACTGCCATATTGCAAGAGTCTTTTGTGTAAATGCAAATACCCCCCACACAGGTAAGACATTAAGTTGTCAGTCATTGTCACTTTAAGAGCTATTAGTTTATCATATTGCTTTCCAGTAGTTTGCTAGAGAAAATGGTGCACAGGAGAGATTCACATAGTAGGAGGTCAGGATAAGAGAATAGAAAAACTCAGGTCATGGGAAGCTGCTGCAGAAGACAGCCCTGGACAAGATACCACAGGAGGGACCCTGGCAGCTAGGAAATGGTATAGGGGTACTGGTGCTTGGGAAGGACTTTTAGATGTAAACATATCCATCTTTGCTTTATTCTTTTGCATGACTTAGTCCTGTCTGAGCCTAAATGTAAACTCATTTTTTGAAGTAGAAAATAAAACCTCAAAAGAAAACTCTGAATAAGTCATTCACTTCTATTACTACATTTCGCTTGGTGATTAGAAAACAGAAATTCTGGCCTCATTTCTTGAAGGGCTCTAAATGGTCCACACTTGCATGAGACAGAACACTTCTGGGATGTTTTGGTCATCTAAAACCATTTATAGTACTTAATTATGGGTGATGCTCCTAAAACATCTGGTCAGTCCAGAGCCAAATCTGACAACATTCATCCATTAAAAGGAAGATGTAACCTGTGTGTCAATGAAGAAATCCTGAAATACGAAGCTCTCACTGAAAGTGATTTGTTGCAATTCAATTCCACAGACATTTATTAAGTACTTGCTATGTGCAAGACAGTATGTAATTAGATGTGTTAGTAATTAGAAGCATAGAATCATAGAATTGGAAGAGACCTTAAAGGTCATTTCATCCAACCTACCACCCAACTTGGGGATTCCTTCCTCAACATTTCAGATGCTATCTCTTCTTAAATGCTTCTGGGAAAAGGGAGCTTATTACTACCAGAAGTCAATCCATTCTGTTCTTGGATCAAGATAATATTAGAAAGTTGTTTATAATGGGCCTCTTTATAACTTCAGCTGATCGGTCTTAGATCTGCTTTCTGGAGCTACACACACATACATATACACACACCACACACACATTTTCTCCTTCCTCCATTTGACAAACAGTTATTTCTTCATTTCATGCTTTGAGTGGTATTAAGTTGAATGCTTTCTTTATGTTTCCTTTAAGAAAAATAAATATTTCTTCTCCAATTTTGCAGGAAAAACAAGGAACAGTTGTTTTATTATATGAAACTCAGAAGAGGTATAGATTGGGAATTTTGTGAGTATGAAATATTTGAGTACAGTTAAACAAAGAAATAGGCATTGCAATTGAAAGTAATTCTGCTTTTACGTATTTTAATCAAAGCACTGATTTATTGAAAGACCATTTAATTTTGTGTAGAAAAACAGATGGTATTGCACAAAGTGGCCCTGTAACACGTTGGTTTTTTTAAAATATGATTGATTTATTGCCAAAAGGTTAGTTGTGACAGCTATCTGCACAAGCACATGAGCACTCATACACACAAACACATGCAAGTTACATATTGGGCCAGCATCCATCTCTGTAGAAGGGAAGCTGGGAATAAGCTCCACTGGGATGGTCCAAATAAGCAGCACTAAGCATCCGACCACAGCTTCCACCATTGCTTTCCCAATTTCACTGTGTGGCATTTGCAAACTCTGGTACAGCATGAGCCTCAACCCCAAGCTGACACACATTTCTATGAACATTCACATGCTCCACAATCAGAGCACAAGAGGAGAAACCCAAGGCCAAATGCCACAAGTACCCTCAGCCCCAACGGGTATCTCTCCTGTGCTCAAGTCCATTGACCCCATCCTCCTTTTACCTAGGATGGGCCAATTTCCAAAGGTAGCAGCCTGTTTCCTACCTCAGCATACCCCTAAATAGTCCAGCACAGGTATCTCTCTCTACTCATGTCAGCTGTCCTCTGAAGCAGTGAAGACATCAAAGGACTGAGAGCCTGCTCTATTTTATACCCATCACTTACCCTTCTTTCTGCACTGACCAGGTTCCACAGTGGCCCCATTCTCCTTAGTACATTGATAAGGAGATGGGGGAAGGGAAAAGGAGGACTGGGGATGTGACCCACGGATTCATTCATTCAACTATTTGCAGGACACTGTGATAGATATAAGGATGAATAAAGCATAACCTTTTTCCTCAAAGAGTTTATAATCTACTATTATAATATACTAATATTACAAGTATGCAACTAACCATAATACAAGACAGATTGTATATTATAAGAGAGGTTTGAACAGACTGTTACAAGGGTTCATACATAGAAGAGATTGTATATGGTTGATAAGACTCAAGGAAAGTTCCGTGAAGAAGATGGCACTTGTGCTGGGCCTTGAAGGACAGATAGAATTCTAACAAATACAGAAGAGGGTGGGAGGTAGAAGGCAGCTGTGGCAGAGTGATGGAGGAAGCACTCTATCAATTTCAGAAAAAGGAGACAGCATGGGCAAAAGCATGAAAGCCCAAATATAAGCACGCTCGGGGAAGATCATCTTGTCAAGGTTGACTCAAATGTTGGGAACGTGTGGGGAAATGTGGGAAATAAAGTTAAAAAGGTGGGTTGGGGGAAAAAAAGAAAAGCAAAAAACATTAGATCAGTAGAAAGAGAGCTAGGGACTCCCTGCTCAGGTGGGAAGCCCTATCACTCCAATGCTCAAAAAAGAGCCCAAGAGATTAGTCAAGATGTTCCATAAAATGGTAGGATCCCCTGTCCCTTTTTTTTTTTTTAATCCTGGTAGCAACTTCAGGCAGTCTTCCATGGGTATTCACTAGGGCTGCCTTCTACAGATTTGTTATTCCTCAATTCATCCCAATATTATGTGCATTTGTCTCCAGGATCTCTTGCTCTTCCTAGCATTAGCAATGTAGTGAGAATATTGTTTTAACCATAGATCTGGACATTTTAGAGCTGGAAGGGATCTCAGAACTCCTCTCCTAGATATCATATGAATATTCAGCTCTTTTCCAAAAAAGTGGCAAATAACCCCACCTATTGTTTAGCCTTCTTTTGTTTGTCCAAGTGCTCTTTAACCTATTTATGCCCCAGCAAATCATATTAGCTTTCTATTTGCTCTTATCTAGTAGCAAGAAATAAACAAACAAGATGCAGTTGGAATACTGAGTTCAAGTTCCTTCTCACTGTCTGTAATGGTAGTGATAAATCTACTATGAGCACATACATGAAAACAGCTTTGATTTGACTCCCTCCTCAGCCTTCCCTCAGGCCTAATCCTCAAGCTTTTACTTTCCCTGAAGAAAATAGCAATTTATAATTAGAACCTGAAAGCCAGTGGCGAGACATTTTTGTTTCCTTCTCTCCAAATCTCTGGCTCTGGTACCATAGGATGCAAAAGAGCACGGGGCACTGGGGAAGAACTCAGGGAACCAAGCAATAGCAGTCCCTCCAGGTTGGCGAGGAGTTTGTGGTAATCAGAGATCAGGAAGAGGTGGTCAGGGAATCTAGGAAGGTAGCAAAGGTTTAGAGGAGGGCAGATCTCAAAAGTTAGGAATCTAAGAAACACATCAGTTAAGTTAAGGCATTAGAGGTTCCTTAGGTAAGTTCTACCATGGCTTGCACAAACCTGGGCCTGCATCTAGTGTTTCCAGCTGGGAAAGAAATGTAATTATAGGCCATGGGCTAAGCACTGGGAATACGAAGAAAGCCAAAAGCACTAAATCAAGCTCCTGCCTTTCCCAAGCTTCCATAGGAATGGGGGAACCAACATGCAGATGAGAGGAAGCCATGGGAGTTTATTGAGCAGGGGTTGACTTGGGCAGACCTACAGATCAAAGGTCTGTATCTCGAACTTTTCTCTAGCAGTTCATTGAACTTCTCTTATGACATTTCAAATCTGTCTTGTAGCTGTTTCTTGTACTCACCCTATTTCCTCTTTTAGATTATAAAAGTCTTTCCCTATCCAGTACCAAAAGGTTCTGCCCTCGCTGAAGGAAGTCTTCCCAGCCTCTCCAGTCACTTACATCCTCCCCTCTAAGGCTCCCTGCCTTCTTCTCCATATCTATTGTGTAAATACTTCCATATTTGGTGTTCTCTCTCTCATTAGTATGTAAGTTCCTCAAAGACCAAGACTGATTTTGCACTTTTGCCTTTCTTTATGTCCTCAGTGCCTAGCACAGAGTAAGCACTTTATGCTTGTTGATTGATTGAATGATCAGCTTATTCTGACAAAACTTGCTATGGCTTTCTTTTCAAGTGTCCTAAGTATAAAAAAACACCCCTGGCTATCTACTGGTGGACAGGAGGTCTGATGAGGGTAAGGCTAGCAGGTTGTCAGATAATGGAAGAAGTCATTAATTAGTAAGAGGAGTTTAGGATTGAGGACTGGTGTCTGGGGCAGTGCTCTCATAATCAAAGTACATATTTGTTTTAAGTTTGTAGCACTCAACTATATGCACCACTACTCTCTAAATCTTCACCTTTCTTCGTAAAGACTTGGTTCAAAAGCTCAATTGTGTAAGGACAGGCTAGAGAGACAAGGATAGAAAGTAATTTCTGTGACAAAGACCTAAGGCAGGACAAGGGTTAGAAAAGGACCTAAAGGCTTCCATTGACTGAAAGCTCAGGACAATGCCCTTGATGTGGCAGCCAATTCAATTCAACCATAATGTATCAAAGACCAAAAATAAGCTGCATTGTGCCTGGGGGAAAATGCAAAGTTAGACTACATTTAAACAAATAAAGGATCCATAGCCAGGGCAATGTTAGCCTAGTTGCTTTGACCAGATGACATCTGCAGTACCGTGTATACTTTGGGGTGCCATATTTTAGAAGAGACATTGATGAGTTGGACTGCATCTAAAAGATGGTAGGATGATGAAGGGACTCAAAACTATAGCATGGGAGTATCATTTGAAAGAACTGGGAACAGTTTTAGCCTGGGGAAAAGAAGACTTGGTAGGGAGGTTGTAGGGAAGGACAGGTCATGATAGCTGCTTTCAAATGTTTGAAGTCTGGTCATGTGGAAGAGAGATTAGAGTAGCTCTGCTTGGCCCTACAGGGCACCAAGGCCAGTGTGTAAAAGTTAATGGAAAACAAATTTCTGCTCAGATAAAACGGAAAAAAAACTTCCTAGAAATCAGAGTTATCTAAAACTGAAAGAGTCTGTCTGAAAAAGTAGTGAATTCCATATCAGCGGAAGTCTTGAAACAGAGGCTCTTCAGGAATCTTGAAGAGGTTATTGCTGCTAAAGTTAGACTTTGACGGCCTCTGAAGCACCTTCCAACTCTTCACTTCTATGATTTTATGACATAGGGAAGGAGCCAAAAGCCTTAACTATCAAGTAACTAGATTTCAGAGAATTCAATGCAAGCCACAGGGACGCAAACAATAGGATATTAATTCAGATCATTTCCTCTCTGAAAAAAATCAGGAAATTATACTTCCACTACCTTTCTTATGAGGTTGTTGTGAGAAAACCTTATAAATATGAGTTGTTATTATTACAGAATCAGAATCTTGAAGTAGAAAGAGACTTGAAAGGTCATCTTCAGATTACCTTGTGGCTACAGCTGAAGTGTGTAGAGTGTGTGTATAGGCTTGTTGTGAAAGTAGTGAATTAATGGGGTGTTTCCCCTTTGTAGCACAGGTAGATAGCAACCTATGAGTATGACAAAGAAAGTAGACCACCAAAGAGCCAAACTATAATTCTATTGTGTGGAAACAAGGACACAGCAAAAGTCTCAATAATGCTGAGGTTCATATGTCTCTATATTCAAAAGAATTATGTCAGGCATGAATTATACTGGTGTGCATAGCAACAGTTCTGTTAAACTAATTTAAACATTAAAAACATATGAGCTCATACCAGTGGCCTGGCTCAGTGGTAGCCTTTTGCTTGGAATAACTGAACCTATTGCTATCTTCTGCTAAGTTGATTAATAAAAAATATTTATTACACAAATCCTTTTTGTTGACAAGTTAAAATGGAGCCTCATCTTTCATATCTCCCTGAAGATTGCCACCTTGTGAGATTGAAAATACTCATTAAATGCCATCACCAGACAGGCACAAATGAGAGGGTGATTGTTTTTAAGCATGTGAGGGGAATCGTTGGTAAACTCGTTTGTTTGGATATCATTAACAGAACAATCGCAGAGGATCTCCAGGGGGTCCTCATGACCTTCGCTCACAATCTCTTCATCATCCATCAAGAAATATCATCACCTAATATGCAAGGCGAGACCAATTTTAAGGTGAGGTGTTAATTAACTAACGATCCTGGTTGATTTCTGTACAAGGGCTGAAAATACCTCATGCTGTATTGTAAACAAGTGCTAAACCATCCTTTTTTATTGTTAGCAGTGCATATTTTACAATGTGGAGGGTCAATATTGTAAGGTCCCCGCTGAACCTGTTAGTTAAATTTAATAGTTTGAAACTTTTCCTTTGAAATCTAGTAGACTTACTTTAACTTAATGCTATTTCCAAAACTACATTTCCACATTTCAAAAGTGAGAGAGTACACATGAATGTCACACTGGAGCCAGAAGACCGTCACAATCAGAATCACAAGCTAAAAATGTACTTTAAATAATACTACAGACTGGTTGGTTATTTCCTAAGGAATTAAGAATCATAGAGACTCCATGAAATCATAAAAAGATAGGTGTAATTTCTGTGTGTCTCAGTTTCCTTATTCTTTAAATGATCTCTAAGGCCCCTTCCAGTTCCTAAACTTGCTAATTTAATGATGATAATGATTTAGGTATATCAACATGGACCATTAGAATACCATAGTATATTTTATGTCCTTTGCTCTGGCCCAGTTTTATCAAATTACAATAGCTATTTCATTTCTGACTTCCTGAGGCCTGTGAGTAGTTTCAAGGATGTTGACAAAGTTCAGGGCAGGATTACTGATTGTAATTCTTAAATATTCAGAAAACAGGAACCAGTACCATATCAAAGATGGTTGTAATCCTAGCTAGACAAAAATGGTCATGTAAGCATAACTCCAATTCATCATTAACCAACCAGCCATGACTTAAAAACCAAGATTAAGTAAGTCAGAGTACCATGTTCATTTTTCCTCATAACTCCTTCCCCTGAAACAGAAAGCTTCACATTTATTCTTGAATACATTTAATTTTTCAATACATTTTCCTCTAGACTAGTTCTATTTTAATAACAATAACAATAGTAATACAGGCTTCCTCTTACATACTGGTTTATTATTTTCTGGGTATTTTCACATTCATTATCATATGTAGTAGCATTATATATGGCCCCATTATATTAAAGATATTCACTCTCCAAATGGACCAGTGCTGCATCACTTTTCACTAGTCCCAAATGGCATATGTTCTATTTCACATCATGGTCCATTGCTAGTCTAATGTATCTGTTAACTAACTGTCCATATGCACAAATTTGCAAATGACAAGGACAGCCATGTCCAAATTTGGAGATCATTCAAAACCAGAAGGCCCAGGCCAAAACCAGTTGGCCTCTTAGCTTAGTCCTAAGGCAAGCAGAATTTATAAACCCCTGTTTAAGTGAAACTATTTCTATTGCCCTTTTCTACAATTGAATATGATCAAGACAATGCTCTTAGAAGCCTGAATGGCTCAAAAGTCCCTTCCTGTTTTGTTTATCTCTTCTAAAAAACAGAATTATCTTAATATATATATATCCCCAAAATTCTTTCAAAGTGTGTCAATAGGTGAATTGTTTTTTAATGTCTTTAAATGGTTCCCTAGCCTGTAGATGGGACAAGGTTCTACAGATGGTTTGAAATAACAGAACGAATTTATCTAAAGAAAAGTCTGAGAGGCCAAAGGTGCTACTAGTTTTATGGGACATCTTCATCTCCTTGTTTCTTATCCATCTTATCCATAACTCCTAAAGTGAATCAATATAAAATGCCCATTTTTTCCAATAACTTATTTATAAGTTAGATGGATAACCAGGGGGAGAAGAAAGGGATTTTTTTAGTCCTATAAGATAAAATATTTTAAAAAACCTAAAATTATAAAAATGATCATGATGATAGCTAGTATTTATCCCTTTAAGGTTTGCGAAGCAGTTTATAAATACTATCTCATTTGATCCTCACAACAACCTTGGGAAGTAGATGTTATTATCATTCTCATTTTACAGATGACATAACTGAGGTAAATTGACATTAAAGGACTTGCTCAGGATCTCAAAGTGAATTAAGCGCCTAAGGCTGGATTAGATCTCAGGTCTTCCTGACTCCAAGACCAGTACTCAATCCACTATGCTATCTTGCTGCCTCTATGCAATAATAATCACATTATAATTATTATCTCTATATGAAAATAATGAGAAGTTGATATATGTGACACTTTCTTTGTAAAAGCATTTCTCATCTACTCCTTCATTTATCCAATGAAGTTGAGTAGCTCTTTTTTTCAGTTTGCAGACAAGAAAACTGAAGTACTGAGAGATTAAATATTTTGACTAATATTATGTACCTAGTTAGTAGAGAGACATGACCAGAAGCCAGATCTCTTGACTCCTTAGACTGAGCCCGGTACTTTACCTTCTCCATGCTGACTCAAGTACAATCTTCTGTTCCTATAATGGAGGATAAATCTACTTGAAAAGTAAAAGCTATGTTTAAAATAAAGAGTTATCTGAGCTCTTTTCTGAAAAGTAACTAATGGCTCTATGAGCTCTCATCTGCCAAGAAGCCATACTTGTAGATTCATAAGACTGCATATGATTGCCAAGAAGGTTGTTGGAATGTTTCATAAAAGACTAATGGGTATTGTTTTCATGTTCATCACAGAGGTTTATTGATGATGTTGAGACAGTCCTAGGAATTATGTCAGAAAACAAAACAAGATCTGAAAAACAAGCTGCCAAAGACAAGAATAAGTTCATCTGAGAATCATAGTTCATTGATATCTGCAAACACTATCATTCTTAGTACCCATTTGGAAGCAACAACAACCACGATTTTCTCATTGACAGGGAGAGACATAACTTTTTCTTTGTCTTCTAGCAGTCAAATTAAAACTTGGTGGTGTGAGAAATTGGAACAACATTCTTTGTTATTTGCTATTAAGGGATCTTAATTTATTTGTCAAACTATAACTGTAATTCTGTATTTAAGTTTGCATACACTCAACTTGTTTTAGCCAACGAAAAGAAAAAATCTAATAAATAAAAAAGACCATTTCTTTATTTACACTATATTTTTACATACTTTTAGACTCAAGAAACTTCTATTTTTTAAACTTCATAGATAGGTGGGTTTGGAGGGGTGGAATTTGTGGAGCTTTGGTTATTCCTGAGAGGAATATGTCTACTGTATTTTTTTTTCTAATAAGCAACTTTTTTTTCTTACAAATAATCACTGTCATCTTTCAAAACCTGAATGTCTTTGTTTGTTTTCTTTTTAAAAATTGTTAAGATTTTTTAAAAATCCTTTTACCTTTACTGTATTTTCTTTACACAAAGTCAAAAAAAAATTTTTGTCATTTCCAAGTGGTCGAGCCCTAGCAGTCTACCATCAGGCTCTAACTAAAGCTATAGAATTTATCTAGGTGGCAGCATGTGCTCTTATTTTAAGCTACAGAATAACCCCAATCCTGTCGATTGAATGAACAGTCTTGCTCCTCGGTACTTGTGTTCTATGACTGCAGTCATAGGATTTTCACTAGTAATAGTACAATGCATGTATTTGGCTATATTTTTTTAAAAGGTAATTATCAAAAATACAGGGTGCCAAGCATAAACCAGAATATTTGTTTCATTGCTATATGATTCAGTTTTGTCAGAGAATGGGAAAAAAATAAAAGCTAAATCAAAATGCTGCAGTCATGTTGATTTCTGTTTTAAATAAACATTACCTTCCTATTTTAAAAATATTTGAGTATATTGAGTTTTTAGTACTGTTTTTGCGATTGTGTTTCTATCATTCCTTAACTTCACTTTAGCTCTTGGCTGAGCATTCCTGCTCTATATTTTAGCCAGTTTCTTTTTGTTTCAGCCTTTGTTTTCCTGCAGTTGAAAACACATTTATTAGCCAGGTTTCCTGCCCGAGTTAGGTACTAGGATGACCCTTCCCTGTTGCCAGATACCCTTTAATCCATATCAGATGTCCATTGTCCAGACACTTGACTGATAGGAAGGACAACAAGCCCATTAGAGTCAAACCTCAATCCCAGCCAGAGCAACATAAGGTCCCAGAGACTCATTAGTTCACTGGCACAGTAGTGTCCTGAGAGTAAATGAAACCCTCTGTCTCCTTATGTCTCTCATCTGCTCTAGACTTTAAAAGAAAACTGTCTCGGTTTTGTTCAGCACAGCAGCGGAATTGTTCACATGGTGAGAACCCTCTCTTAACAGTAAAAACTGTTAAATCTATTAGGGACCTTTTTTTATTTGAATTTTGATTAGCACTTCTGAGCCTCAGGCTGCTGGCAAAGAGAACTAGCTCACTCTCCTTTACCTTCATTGGCCTACACTGCTGCTGTCTCAAACGATGTCACTTTGCCTCTCTTCTGTGGTCGGCTACAAGCTGCAAGATCCAGACACAGAAAGTCTTATTTTCAGACACAGTTCTCTGCTGTAGAACATGGGTCCCTTCATATCTATAATCTCTTATATTTAACAGTAAGGTTAAAACTGTTCTGAATGAGAATGGATCACAGGATCCTACATGGATTTAGAACTAGAAGAGACCTTAAAACCTTTCTCTTCAATTTATAGATGAGGAATCTATACCAAAGAAGTGAAATAAAGAGACAGGATTTTAATCCAGATCCTTTCACTTGATTGAAATCAAGGGTATTTTTTTTCCCCTTTGTATATTCCATGATACCTGTACAAGTACTTCTGTCATTCAAACAATTGAAAGGTCAGACTGAGTGAAACCTATGAATTACAGAAGATTTTTGAAAGAGCATAGTTTCCACTTAGAATACATAATTGAAAGAGGCAGTTATGAGGCAATGGCTAAAGTACTGGGCTTGTACTCAGGAAGACCTGGCTTCAGAACCTCCCTCTAACACTTGCTAGCCTGTGACTGTGGGCAACTTCTCTAGACTTATCTACTACTAAATCTTAAATGAATTAGTAGAAGGAGTTCCTTATGTTGACAAAATTCCTGCTCCTTCTTGCATTTAGGGATACATAACTATTAAAATACTAGAAGAGGTGGTAGATGATGAAGGAACTAAGCAATAAATTGATAATGCAAAACCAGCACCATTTGCCTGCCAAATTATGCATATTACAAAGTAAGATACAAATAGGTAAAGCATAGTTATTTAAAAATTCAAGTTATGACTACCATGTCCAAATTATTATGCATTCCAAATTAGTGAAGTCTGAATTGATGCATTTCATTGTAGTTTTCTAAATGGGAAACTGGGAAGTATTTTGGAGACTTCAGATTTTAGAGAAGTATTTTAGAGCTTGTACATCAAATTTGGGATCTATCCTTGTGTGGGAAAATGTCTCATTTATTTCAGGAGTAGGGTGCCATGAATTAGGAGGAAATTGTGTCTACTTAGCAGCTTGCTTTGATGGGAAATATATTTCCATGTGTTACATATTCTATTTTGACTATTTAAAGAAAGCAATAGAGAAGAACATAAAATTCCGGTCTATGTCCAAACTAGATTATGTGAAATAGGATTAGGATGGGTACTGTTCTAGAATAAACTACATTAACAAAGCAAATCATTAAACCACATGCTAAGTGAAGTATGAATGAGCGGCTTCACTCATACCTCCTGCTCAAGGAGTTGAGATAAGATCAATAGCATAGGGAACTGAGGGAAGTAAAGGAGAGAAGCATCATAGACCAAAGGTAAAAAAAAAAAAAAGGAAAGAGGCATCAACTGGATACTTCTCTACTGAGGAGATGTAAAGCATTGGCTCAAGTTTATTGTGATGGAGCAAAATGGAAATGCAGGAAGGCTGAAAAGATGAGACCATGGGTTGTGATTAGCCTTGTTTTAGAAAAATTGAGTTGAGAAACTGAAGGAGTGTGTGTGTGTGTGTGTGAAGAAACAGGCTTCAAGAGAGAGAAGTCAGCAGCTTAGGAGAAGTTGGGATGCTTATTTGAGCTGGGTGTGCATTGATTCAGGGCTTAGCACAGTGCCTGGCACGTAGAAAGTGTTTGTTACCTTCCTGCCTGCCTATATTATGACAAGTGCTGTACAGATATGTATTTTATCACAAGGAATGAATTAGTAACCATGCAATAACTATAATAATTAATAATCATTTGTATTCATTCAGCACCTACCTTCTAAAGAGCTCAAAGCACTTTACATTTGTTATCTCATTAATTCTCAAGACTGTCCCTATGGGGAAGGTAGTAAGTATTTTAACATTGAAATGTTTATCTTTCAGAACTCTTCAACCATACATTAATTATATTTCCGAAGCTGTAAATGTTCATTAGTTTTATTTTACTGTTCCTCTGGCTTTAATGTGCATAACAGATTTGTTCAACTCTTGAAAACATGTCTAATCATAGTAAATCTTATTTGGGAAATAATCAAATTAAATTGCCAAGATGATGAGGGGATTGGGGGGGGAAGAGAGATGGGAATGAGAAAGCAATGTGGATTTTTTTTTCACATTTCAGAATTGGATCACATTGAAATTGTATGGCTGTTTCTTCTCTACATGTAGAATTCTAATTTGCTCCAAATTGTCTACAACCAGAGGGGCACCAGTCAGGTCAGAGACCTAAGGAAGTTACCTAGAGCAGCTGTTCTCATAGTGTAGCCCACAAACCCCTGGATGTCCCCAAGACCCTTTCAGGGGACCTCTGAGGTCAAAACTATTTTCATAATGCTATTAAGATATTATTTACCTATTAAAATACTCCTCCCTTTTCCAATTATATATCTATGTGAGTTCAGATTTTCTTCAGGTATTTCGATCAAAACAACATATTGCAATGGATTGAATGTAGAAGTAGATATAAGAATACAGCTGTTTTTTCTATTAAACATTTAAAAAAATTGCTAAAGTATGTAAAAGAATGACTTCATTAAATTGGTTTTTTTTGGAAAATATAGTTATTTTTCATAAAAATATTATTTATACTAATGTGTCATGGCTTTATTACTACTATTGCAAATGTATTAATAAATATTTTAAAATTGATCTGTTTTTATTTCTAATATGGTAAATATTGTTATATATAACCCATATAAGTAAGAGCTCTTCGGAGGTCCTTAATAATTTTTAAGAATGGAAAGGAGTCTTAAGATTAAAAAAAAAAATAAAGTTTGAGAACTGCTTATCTGGATAACTCCTGAAAAATTCACTACTTTGTTTAACCAGTGGAAGACTTGACATACAGGGGTGAGGGGGCACAGAGAAGACTGAGGCTTTAATTCACTAACCATTCAGGGTCCCATGTTCTAAACCAAGAATGTCTGGACATCAGATGTCCTGCTGGCGAAGTGAAGCTGTGGCCTTTTCTCTTAGTGTCCTGGACATTTCTAATTTAATTTTTTAGCTGATAAAATGGCAAATCATAATACCTGCTCCTTAGGGAAGCCTTAGAGATTAATTAGCTTATGTTGGGAGAGTGTTTAGAAGATGGAATGTTTTACATAAATGTTAAGTATTATTATTACCTTACTGCTTCAAAGGGAAGTTCTAACTTTGAAATGTGATTATACAGTTTCCCCAAAAAGCCCTTCATAACCACATATATAGGTTTATTTTTCACTGTTAACAGTCTAACTCATGGTTGTGAAACTTTATTACACTTGATGGAGGGCCCTGGCTTTTATTAGTTTTAAACTGCTGGTTTCTGGGGTATTTATGTAAATGAGGGAAAGATTCCAAAACAGTAAATAACAAGCATGTCCCTGCTGTTTAAAAATCTGTTGGCAAAAACAACTTTTG